ATTAACAATTAATGCAATGTATCCTGAAATTTTACTGAATTCATTGATGAGTTCTAGTAGTTTTTTGGTGGCATCTTTTGGATTTTCTACGTATAGTATCGTGACATTTACAAACAGTGACAGTTTTAATTTTTCCTTTCCAATCTGGATTCCTCTTATTTCTCTTTCTTGTCTAATTGCTATGAGTTGGACTTCCAATACTATGTTGCATAAAAGTGGTAAGAGTGGGCATTTTTGTCTTATTCCTGATCTTAAAGAAAATGCTTTCAGCTTTTCACTGTTGAGTATGATGTTGGCTGTAGGTTTGTCATATGTGGTGTTTATTATGTTGAGGTATGTTCCCTCTAGACCCAGTGTTGAACATTTTTATCATAAATCGATGATGAATTTTATCAGAAGCTTTTTCTGCATCTTTTGAGATCATATACTTCTTATTCTTCAGTTTGTTAATGTGGTGTATCACATTGATTGCTATGCAGGTATTGAGCCATTCTTGCATCCCTGGGATAGATCCCACCTGATCATGGTGTGTGGTCCTTTTAATGTATTGTTGAATTTGCTTTGCAGATATTTTGTGGAGGATTTTTGCTTCTATGTTCATCAGTGATGTTTGCCTGTAATTTTCTTTTTTTGTAGTGTCTGTCTGGTTTGGTATCAAGGTGATGCTGGCCTTGTAGAATGAGTTGGGAAGCATTCTTTCCTGTTTAATTTTTTGGAATACTTTGAGAAGGATAGGCATTAGTTCCTTTTTAAATGTTCTGTGGAATTCACCTGTGAAGCCCACTAGTCCTGGAATTTTGTTTGTTGGGAGTTTTTAAATTAATAATTATAATTAGTCTGTTCGTATTTCTTCCTGACTCAATCTTGGAAGATTGTACATTTCTAGGAATTTATCCATTTCTTCTAGATTGTCCGTCTTATTGGCATGTAATTGTTTGTAGTAATCTCTTACAGTCCTCTGTATTTCTGAGGTTTCATTTGTAACTTCCTTTTCATTTCTGATTTTGTGTATTTGGGTCCTCTCTCTTTTTTTCCTTGATGAGTCTGGCTAAAGATTTATCTTTTCAAAGAACCAGCTCTAAGTTTCATTGATCTTTTCTATTGTTTTTTTAGTCTCTATTTCATTAATTTCCACTCTGATCTTTATGACTTCTTTCCTTCTAACTTTGGGTTTTGTTTGTTTTTCATTTTCTACTTCCTTCAGGTGTAAGGTTAGGTTGTTTATTTGAGATTTTTGTTGTTTCCTGAGGTAGGCATATATCACTATAAATTTCCTTCTTAGCACTGCTTTTGCTGTGTCTTACAGATTTTGGATTGTATGTTTCCATTTTCTTTTGTCTCCAAGTATTTTTTTATTTCCTCTTTGATTTCTTCTATGACCCCATTGGGTTTTACTAGCATATTGTTTAGCCTCCATGTGTTTGTGTTTTTTGCAGTTTTTTTCTTATAGTTGATTTCTTGTCTCATAGTACTGTGATATGAGACTAGATACAGATTTTGGATTGTATGTTTCCATTTTCTTTTGTCTCCAAGTATTTTTTTATTTCCTCTTTGATTTCTTCTATGACCCCATTGGGTTTTACTAGCATATTGTTTAGCCTCCATGTGTTTGTGTTTTTTGCAGTTTTTTTCTTATAGTTGATTTCTTGTCTCATAGTACTGTGATATGAGACTAGAGTTATCTTAAACTGTCCTCATTTTTAAAAATTTCTCTTTCTTTTTTCTGTTCAACTTGGGTGATTTCAACTACTCCGTCTTCCAGATCACCTGTCTGTTCCTCTGTATCATCTAATCTATTGATTCCTTCTAGTGTATTTTTTAGTTTCAGTTACTATTTGGTTCTTCTTTATATTTTCTATCTCTTCTTAAACTTCTCACTGTGGCCATTCATTCTTTCCCTGAGTTTATTGAGCTTCTTTATGATCATTACCTTGAACTGTTTACTGGGTACGTTGCTTATCTCCACTGCACTTAGTTCTTCTCCTGGGATTTTATCTTTTCCTTCATTTGGAACATGCTCCTTTGTCACCTTCTTTTGTTTACCTAATTTTCTGTGTTTATTTCTATGAATTAGGTAGGTTGGTTATGTTTTTGATCTTGGAGAAGTAGGCTTGTGTAGGAGACATCCTATGGTGCCCAGCAGCACCAGAGTTATATGATCTAGGGATGCCCCTTTGGGCATGTTGGTAGGCAGGGCTGTCCCTGTTCCCAGTTGGTTACCAGGCCTTGCCTCATGCAGAGGCTGTTGGCCACTGGTGGGCAAGGCTAGGTCCCAGAGCGGCCAACTGAGTGGCCCTGGGGTTGCCTGAGGCTTATCTCAGCCTGCTGGTGGGTGGTGCCTGGTCCCAGTGCAGTTGACTTTGGGGCCTGGGGGGCCTTGGACTGCTGTCTGCAGGTGCTGACAAGTCCCGGTACTGGTACTGGCTTGCTAGTATGTGGAGCAAGGGCCTTGAAACTCCTGGGGCTGGTGCCAGCCTGCTTGTGGGCAGAGCTGTGTCCCAGTATGGTCGGCTATAGGGCCTGAGGTCATGGGGCTGGCTCCAGTCCATTGGTGGGTGGTGCCAGGTCCTTGTGTGGCTGACTAGAGGGCCGTGGGTCCAGGACTGGTCTCAGCCTGCTGGTAGTCAGGGTCATTTCCTCATGTAACTGGCTTGTCAGTGTGGGAGGTCCCAGGACTGTGGCCAACCTGCTGGTGGGTGGGACCGTGTCCTGGTGCAGATAGTCTAGACACCAAAATGGCCCTTGCCAGCACCAGTGTCCTCGTGGTAGAACCTAAATGGCCCCCATAAATGGCTGCCACCAGCATCTATGTCCCCAGGGGGAGTTCTGGTGGCCTCCTCCCTCTCTGGCAGCCTTCTCCAAGTTCAACAAGTGGGACTGACCTAGGCTTCTTTCAGATTACTCCCTCTGTGCTGGGTCTAAGAGCATGTGAGGTTTTGCTTGTGGTTTTTTTTTTTGCGGTACGTGGACCCCTCACTGTTGCGGCCTCTCCCGTTGTGGAGCACAGGCTCCAGACACGCAGGCTCAGCAGCCATGGCTCACGGGCCCAGCCGCTCCGCGGCATGTGGGATCTTCCCGGACTGGGGCACAAACCCGCATCCCCTGCATCGGCAGGTGGTCACTCAACCACTGTGCCACCAGGGAAGCCTGCTTGTGTTGTTTAAGAGCAGAGTTTCTGTTTCCTACAGCCCTCTAGCTCTGTCTTATGTAAGTCCCACTGGCCTTCAAAGTCAGATGTTATGGAGGCTTATCTTCTGTGTAATACTGGGCTGGGGAGCCCAGTGTGAGGCTTGGACCCATCACTCCTTGGAGAGAACCTCTGCAATTGTGATTGTCCTCCCTTTTGTATGTCACCTACCTGGGGATGTGGGTCTTAACTATACTGTGTCTCTGCCCCTTCTACCCATCTCATTGTAGTTCCTTCTTGATAACTTTAGTTGTGGACAACTTTTTCTTCTAGTCTTCAGGTCCTTCTCATCGTTAGTTCCTCTGTAAGTAGTTGTTAAGTTTGGTGTACCTGTGGGAGGAGGTGAGCTCCAGGTGTTTCTTCTCTGCCATGTTGACCACTCTGTTATATATAATCTTTTTGTTATTATTGTTTATATTCTGAATATACTTAACAGAGTGCATTCAGCATTTGGATGATGTTTCTGTAAATATCAGTCATGTTTGAGATGGTTGAATAGTGTTGTTCAAAATGTCTATATTCTTATTAATTACTTTTGTCTTCTTGCTGTATCAGTTGTGGAGAGCAGTTTGTTAAAATCTACAACTACAGGCATGATTGTCTATTTCTTATTTTAGTTTTGCCAGTTTTTGCTTAATGAATTTTGAAGTTCTGTTATTAGATGCACGCATATTTACTATCATTAAGTCTCTCTTTTGGATTGATCCTCTTATTATTATGCATTGTCCCTCTTTTTCCCCAGTAACACTCCTTGTCTTAAAGTTTACTTTTGGCATGATATCTTTTTACTTTACTTTTCCAATCCCTTTACTTTCAGTGTATCTGTATCTTTATATTTCACATTGCTTCTTGTCGACAAGATATAACTTTGTCTTGTCATAGACTGACCATCTGCCTTTAAAGGCTGACAATCTGCTTTTTGATTAGAGAATTTAGTCCACTTACATTTAGTATGATTACTAATATGGTTGTGATAATTCCACCATCTTGTTATTTGTTTTCTGTTTATTCCATTTGATCTTTGTTCCTTTGCTTTTCCTTTTCTGCTTCCACCGTTTTCCTCTCTTATTGTCTTTTTAGATATATCTCTGGATATTATAAGTGGTTAATTTAGAGTTGTCCAATATGGTAGCCACTAGCCACATTAAAATTAAGTTTAGGGCTTCCCTGGTGGCTCAGTGGTTGAAAGTCCACCTGCCGATGCAGGGGACACAGGTTCGTGCCCTGGTCCGGGAAGATCCCACATGCCGCGGAGCGGCTGGGCCCGTAAGCCATGGCTGCTGAGCCAGCGCGTCCGGACCCTGTGCTCCGCAATGGGAGAGGCCACAACAGTGAGAGGCCCGTGTACCGCAAAAAAAAAAAAAAAAAAATTAAGTTTAAAATTCAATTCATCATTGCATTAGCTGCATTTCAGGTGCCCAGTAGCCACATGTCCCCACTACTGGATTAGGCAATGCAGATTACTGAAGAAAGTTCTATTAGACAGCTCTCTAGAGATTATGATCAGGATTTATTTTGGTCAAAATTACACCAGGTCAAGTGTGAAAAGAGCAATATTCTAGTCGCAAGATGTGTGTTTTTGTTGTGTGTCTACTTCTGGTTAGTTTTGTATCTGTAGGCAAATGTCCCACTGCTCTTAGCCTCAGTTTTCTTTTCTAAAATGTGGGGATAATAATGCCTGCTTTTTCTGCTTCATGGAGTGCTTGTGGAAAAGAAAACTAAAATGGTAACATTCTTTATAAAAGTCAAAACAGTTTTCAAAAACAAAAAATTAACTCATTGACTACTTTCTGTGTTGTGTTTGCTTTTTTAGGCTGCTGACAGAACTGGAGTCTCCTTCTTGGTGGCCCTTTAGCTTCAAGCTTTGGAAGATGCCATCAGAAACAAAGCCCAAGTGGGACGCCTCAATGGCTAGTTCCAAAGCTTTGGGAAAAGAAGGGATAGTGATCAAAATTCCTGCTGTTATTTCCCAAAAAACAGAATCTCATGTTAAACCAGGAAGGCTCACCGTCTTTGTTTCTGGGTTGGAAATCCACAACTCAGATTCTCTGCTCATGCACAGATTTGAAAGAGAAGAAGTAGATGACATCAAGGTTCATACACCTTATGAAATTAGCATCCGCCAGCGGTTCATTGGGAAGCCAGATATAGCTTATCGTTTGATATCTGCCAAGATGCCAGAGGTTATCCCCATTTTGGAAGTGCAGTTCAGCAAGAAGATCGAGTTTTTAGAAGATGCCTTGATGCTCAGAAGCACTAGAACCTCTCCCCTAGCAGAGAAGGGCTACTCAGTCTGGCATGCAGGTGAGTGATCATCAAAACAATCTGTGCGCAAGACCTCTAAAGTCACAGTCAAACTCAACACACCCATGGTGCGTTGCCGTGATGCATCACATAGAGCAACTGCCAGTTTCAGCTCACTAGTGACTACCTATTTGTTTGTAAATAAAAATAATTTCAGACCGTTTTCCTTAGTACTTGCCACCTGAATCTCAAATCACTCAGGTTTATCATGTACTTGAGAGCTGTGCCTTTTCAAATAGGTCAGAAATGGTTTTGGTGATGCTTTCAGAACAAAGGAAAGCTCCAAGTTAGATGTTTTCACCTCTTTCCTCTGTTTGATTTGAGAACCAACACTTTAGGGTCTTAACTAACATCATCCCCACCTGCTCTGGTGTGTCTCCAGTCCCTTCCCCTGACCCAGCATCACACTCGGTTTTCTTGGCACTTAATTGAGGTATTCCCAGCCCACCTTCCAGATGGGCATTTGGATATCAGAATTTTTGAAAATTACGCAACGTAGTTTCTGTGTGTTTTTTTTTTTAGCATCCCAGAAGTATTGTGAAACCCTTGCTTTTCTTGGCATTATGGCTGCAGTATCCTCTTTTAGGTCTCTGTGGAGCATAGAGGGTATAGCTGAGTTTGGCCTGAGGTTCTAGTGTGGGTGGCAGGACATGTGGATATGTCCCCAGGTCCCAGCCTCCTCCCTAGCATAGAATAACTTGGTGGTATCTGACTTCTCGGTTTTGCCATTCTGACTGATGTCAAGTGGTATCTTAAAGGTATTTTTATTTTTTTGATTGATTGTGAGGTGGAGCATCTGACGCCTTTTAGTTGCTTTTTGGTCCCACAGATTTTGCTCTGTGGGTTGCTTGTTCTGGTTTTTTTTTTTTTTTTTCCCTCTGGGTTTTTTTTTTTTTTCCTCTCTGATTTGCAGGAGTTCATTATTCATTCTAGATATTCATCCCTTGTTGACTTTAGAAGCTACCAATACTTCTCCTAGATTGTCAGCTTCCATTACAGAAATCTTTAATTTTGCTATGGTCAGATTTACCATTTTTCCCCTTAAGTTTATTTTTGAGCCCTGCTTAAGGAATCCCAAAGTCATAAAATATTCTAATACTAGCATTATAGGTGACATTACTTCTATGTTATAGTGATTTTTCTAACAAGTAATAGTCTTTTCTTATTAACTTCGATTGCTAGAGTTTGTTTAAAGTAAGAGATATGGGCTTCCCTGGTGGCACAGTGGTTGAGAGTCCGCCTGCCAATGCAGGGGACACGGGTTCGTGCCCCAGTCCGGGAAGATCCCACATGCCGCGGAGCACCTGGGCCCGTGCGTCCGGAGCCTGTGCTCTGCAGCGGGAGAGGCCACAACAGTGAGAGGCCTGCGTACCGCAAAAAAAAACCAAAAACCAAAACAAAAAATAAAGTAAGAGATATGTTTGTTACTATTCCAGTTCCTTTTCTTTTTTCCTCTTAAGTGATTGATTTCAATTCCAATATGTAATCTGTTTCCCTAACATATGAATATTTTGATGTTATTCTAGATGACTTCAAGTTTCAAAAAGAAATTGCTTGATAATAGATCTGGTCCCATAAGTATCAAAATGTTGGAAATCTTAATGTAAAAACTTAATTTAGAAACTTACTTTCTTAATTTAGAAACTTACATTTCCAGATTTTTCTTTGGCCCCTCATTCAAGGCAGGGCTCAGAAGCTGGCCCATAAAAGGGCCAAGAAGGGTACACTGTACCAGCCAACATAAGATCCTGACCAGAAGGGCCCTTCAGGAAAGGCCATTTGCAAGCTCAGCTGGGTAGCCTCTCTGATACCCCAAATCTCTGAGTCCCCCTCACTGCTGTTTTCCTCTGGGAGGAGCCTCAGCAGTGAGAGGAGGGAGGAGGCCCTGGCTGGTGGGACCAGATGCAGAGCACCGTGGGCTGTTGGTTCTGACAGTGCTGTTGGAGAATCCCTCTGTGCCAGGCATGGTGCCAGGTACCTACAGTCCTGAAAACAATCCTTCTTCTTATGGAGCTCTACCATATTCGTGGGTTTTATGTTAGGCATGGTGGTTTCAGAGAGAGAACACGACATAGAATGTTACAAATGAGATGGCAGATGCGAGCATGTCACGTGTGTCACAGAAAGTCACACTGTACAAGTGAGAAGGGTGCAAGCTTGCTGTGCCTTGCTGTCATGGAGGGTGGGTCCCGAGGAAGATGGGATGGTAAGCTCTGACTCCAAGCATACAGGTGGCAGATGGGCCTAGAGAGGAGGGAGTGAGTGTCAGGGCCTCTGCAGCCATAATCAGACTGCAGGAAGCTGAGTGAGTGCAAATTCTGCAGGGTCACCCATCAGGAAGGGGAAAATGAACCTCTTGTGCACAAGCTGAGGCTGCTGACCAGAGGCTGAACGTCTTTCTCCTCAAGGGAGCTGCAGATATACTTTTAAGGTTTTTCAGCTGATTGAACCAGGCCCACCAGATTGTCTAGGACATGCTCCCTTCACTAAAGTCAGCTGACTGAGAGCCTTCACCACGTCTACAAATACCTTCCCAGTAACACCTAGATTAGGGTTGGATTGAATAACTGGGGACTATGGCCTCACCCATCACAGTAACGGATTGTATATGTATGGAATGAGCTGAGCCACATCCACGGTGACAGATGGGTTTTCATCTCAGTGCTAACTTTAGCCTGTGGGTAGGATCCCTACAGTGTGTCTGAGTCTGGACTGAGCATGAAGTGCCATCCTCCCCTGATGAAGCCTCCCTGCGTAGGCGAGGCAGGTGTACCTTACAGCTGTGGATTTGGAGAGGTACAGATGACAAGGAGTTATGTTTGGAAGAAGCTGGCATGCTGAGTTCAATAAGCAAGACGGTATCTCATTTGCTTGGAACTTCACAGTAATCCTGCATAAGCCCAGCAATGAGAACTTACTTCTCATTGTTACCTCTCTTGTTGTTGCATCTGTCAGCACCTCTGTTTTTACTGTTCTGCACTGGAAACTACAGAAACAGTGGAGGTAGAAACCATGACTTTGACCTCTCAGAAACATATTTCTCTCCTCTATGAGCTATTTTGGTAAATTGTGTGTGGCCAGAAGGTGGCGGTCTAGTAACAGGGGACCAGTGTCCTAGAAGAACTTTCCAGAGACCTCTGTAGTAATGTATAGAGTAGACAGGTTGAGGGCCTGGGGTGGCCAGGCCAGGACTGGGGGAGGAAGAGAGTCTCCTGGGCTTCAAGGACTGGAAATGATACAAGTGGGCAGATCCCACCTTAAGGAAGAGCAGTTGCAAATTGCTGTTTTTCTGCATAGTATCTTTAAAATAATCTTTTAAATTTTAGAATAGTTTCAGACTTGAGAAAAAGTTGTGAGGATAGTACAGAGAGTTCCCATGTCTCCCACACCCAGTTTTCCCTATTCTTGTCATCTTACATTAGTATCGTTCATTGTCACTACTAATGAGCCTGTACTGATACATCTTTATTCACTAAAGTCCATATTTTATTCAGATTTCCTTATGTTTTACTGTTCCAGAATCCCATCCAGGACCCCACATGATATTTTGGCATTTCATCTCCTTGGACTCTTCTTGACTGTTACAGTTTCTCAGACTCTCTTTGCTTTGATGATCTTGATGGTCTTCAGGAGTAGTGGTCAGGTTTTTGTAGACTCCCCTAGTTGGACTTTGTGTCATGTTGTCTCATGATCCACTGGGGTGATGGGTTTTGGGAGGAAGCCCACAAAGCTCTTATCATATAAGAGCAAGGTCCATGCGTAGCATTTTTAAAGAGTTTTTTTGGTACTGATTTTTGTTTTCACTGTTTGCGAACTGTCGCCTTCTGAGAGGGGCCTTCTCTGACCACCTAATTTAAGAGGACTAGTTTCCCATTCACTTATCCTATAGAAATCTTGCCTAGCACTTGCCCTCTGGTGCTGGTACCCTCTGGTTTGCTGTTCAACTTCCCACACTGGGATGTGTGCTCCAGAATCAGACACAAGTCTGTCTTTTCTCACCCCATCTCCAGCACCCAGGACAGGCCCAGGTAACCAGAAGGCACGCGCATCTCTGTGTAATGATAAATAAACTTCTGAGGCATTGAAGTCTCTGCATAGGGTCATTAATTTAAGATCATCTTTTGAAATAGTAAAGTTCTGACCCTGGGACACAGCACCATGCTGACCACCAACAGACTCCATGTGGTCACTAGGATATGGGTATCAGGTTGACCACCAACAGACCCCTCCATGTGGTCACTAGGACACAAGCACTGCACTGACTTCAGACAAGCCCCATGTTATTAGTTTATTAGGACATGGTGACCCCCTGACTATCAACAGACCCCTGGAGAGCTGCTTGGCCCTCACCCACTTGATCCCTTCCAAGGACCCATGAGTCAGTTGAGACTGCTGTCTCTCTCCATTTCAGTTTTCTCTCTGTTACACTTCCTGTTGTATTGAGGACATGGGCCGTTTTGTGTTTTTTTTCTGAAAGGGCTTCCCACCCCAGTTATATAAGCTGCTGGATCCATCCCTGGGTAGAGTAGGCATTTTCCTGTGTCATCAGTGAGGCGTACGGGGCCCAGAGACAGGGAGAAAGATTTGCTCAAGGCTGGACAGGCTTGGAGCGGTTTTTCTGCTCCCAGGTCAGGCCCTGGTGGTCTTTGGTCTGAACTTGCAATGAGGTCAGGAGTCTATGTCTGATGCGCAAAGGAGACTGGCGTCCCAGTGCTGCCCCTGCCAGCGTAGTCCTTACTCAGGGTTTCCCTCGATGCCTCCTTGTTCTTGGAAAGTGGAATCATCTGTAAGGTAGCATGTAGCTTGAACAATTTGTGATTATTTTGTTTAACTGAGATAACTAATGACTTTTGAGACAAAAACCATCTTATACTGAACTAAATTAATTTTTTCAGAAGATATTTCAAAGCATTGAAGTAACTGAGTCAGCAACCCAAGTCTCAACACAAAGTTCACGGGGGTGGCCGAGTTTTGTATTAGGCAGGATCCTGCTGATCCCA